CTCTCTACAAGATCACTGTTGCTGCTTCAAGAGAAAGACTTGTGACTTCAAATGCGACCCGTCAAGCATGCAGTCTTCAATATGCTTTGGCATCCACCTTGTGAAAACGGAAGTTAATGGAAGTAAGTATGAAGCACATCAGAACATCATAGAAAGCATACATGCACAGGTATGCCTACCATCACTTTCCTTTCTTCACCTCTGCCATGCCTCTGGGATGCTGGGCACTTCTTTTCATCATATTCTAGAGCTTTAGACAGGGAAAAAGTGCAGATCACAATATGTTTTGTCTTGAGTGTAACTGTATTTTTAAAGGTGCATGCTAAACCTGTAGAAATTTTACACTCCCAAGTCAGGTGCCTTCACTCTTCCTTTAAACACCTTCTCCAAGTTCCCTTCTTTCAGCTTGGTTTTCCCAGTTAGGTGTTTATTCTGATGTTCCTTATCTCTCTCCCTTAATCAGCTGCAATCTTCTAAGACTTCCTGAAGACCAATCTTCAGTTTGCTTTGCCTCTTACCTTAATTCTGAGTAGTCAGGAAAAGCTAAAGAGGAGAGTCCATGTTACTTTAAACCGTTAGAGGGGCATGCCGAGTTAAAATAATGTAGAAGGCTGAAATGTCATTCTTAATTCTCCTTGGATACCCAACTTCCTCAGCGATCCCATCAGAAATTGTGGGATTGGTATGGAATTAAGGCAATGTGGATCAAGAATCAAAATCTTATCAGCAGTTGTTAATTAATATTTAATTAAAATCTGTGTCTGCTCATTTATTGCAATTAATCCTTTGAGTTAGTAACAAACCGAGCTGTGTGTTGCAAATCTGAAGAAGCCAAGAAAAGTATTAAGCGTGGCCTAGGATAACTGTTTTTCTCTTAACTGTAAAATGAGACCTAAGTGGACTCTTTCAGCATTGGGGTTTGGGGCATGCTTTTGTATTTTATGAACTCACAGACAGAACAGTGTATTAATCTGCTGAAAAAAAAGTGTAGCACAAGATATGATGTATCTGGTTTTAGCTTCACTTTATCTTAATTCTTCCCTTGAATCCTCATCTTAGATCACCTTTCTTGTCTGTGGATATGTGCTCTGGGTTTTACAAGTCTGTAAAACAAAAAGCACATTATTGAGCACAAACCTGCTCAGTCCCCTTTATTTCCTCTTTTGCGTCTCGATGAGATGGGTTTGGCTATTGCTTGTCATATCCTTCAACGTACTCAACTCCTTGCATCTTCCTCTTTTCAGGATGGCTGTGTCAAGTTTCAGCTTCAAGTTCTGATCTCAGTTATAATCACTACTCAGCTGGGATATTTCTGTATGTTTTAAGAAAAATACAGCAACCTATGTTTTGTTTCGTGGTGGTTACCTTTTCCAGTAGTTGCTGGTCTCTGCAGTGTGCATTACCCACCAGAGGGAGCTGAAGCCAAGAACTGTCAGATCTTCATTGAATCTTAGAACCATTTCAGTTGGATAAGACCAGTAAGATCATTGAGTCCAACCATTAACATACCGTGCCAAGTCCATCACTAAACTATGTCCCTAAGTGCCATTTCTACCTGTCTTTTAAATACCTCCAGGGCTGGTGGCTCAACCACTTCCCTGGGCAGCCTGTTTCCAACCTTTGGCAACCCTTTCGGTGAAGAAATTTTTCCTAATATCCAATCTAAACCTCTCCCAGTGCAACTTGAGTTGGCATTTCAATTCCCAGGGGGTTCCCTGGTGAAAGTCCTCTCTTACTATAAGGGCTTTGGATGTGGGCATCTGTCCTCAAGTTAGCTTGAGAGCAGATGGGGACTGGGTAGGAAACCAGTGCATCTCCTTGTGGTAAGTTATAACCTGTTTTGGGAATCATCACTTGAGTGTCAAAGCAAGCACCTTGTGATGCACATATCATTGTTCTTTGGGTTTTATGTGTGCTGTTCCTTGTAACATGAATAAGGACACCAAAATTGTATAAAAGAAAATTAACTTTGAGAATAAACTAATTATCCCTGAGAAAATTAGGCCAGGTAGAAGCAAGGGTGAATAGGTTATCTGTGTCTCTAAAAGGAAATCTCAAAATTCCTGACTACAAACAGGCTGTAGGATATTTCTGCAGTGTATAAAGTCACATTTTATTTTTTGAGAAATAAATTGGCTGAAAAATAATAGAAAGTGGTGTTCATGCATTTTACATGTTTTAATTTTGTTCACCACAGAAATGTGTCAAGTGTTTAAAGTGTTTATTTTGACTGAGAACTTTGGAAGTAAAATTGTACGTGTTTCCAAGCTTCCATATTTTTATTTTTCCTTTAAAATCACAGTATTTTGACATATTCCAGTTTATCCCAATTCATTAACAGAGTTGTTTTTTTTTTATGGCAGCCATTTGGTCAAGGTGAGAGGGGTTTTATTCTTGTTCTTGGTTTTCTTTCTGTCTGTTAAATTGTAAGATCAATTTATATTTCATCACCTTTTAATAAAAATCTTCCTTTGATTTAGAGGACAGGATAAGTGCTGGTCCTTCTGGACAAATGAGCTTCTTCTCACATTTCCCTCTGCACTTGGAATAAGCCACCCACCCAGAAATAAGTAAATGTTGAGACATGTTGAGACATAACAGCTGAAAGTGATACCGAGAAATAAAGGGTTAACATTGTGTCTGCTTGCTTAAGCAGTCACTGTGCTTGGTGCAGCAGAACCATAGGAGTCAAGGTTGCTAGAACGGTGAAGCAGAATTGTAAGAGTTACAGCTGCTAGGCAGAATTGTAGTAGGTAAGATTCATAACTTAACATTTAAGACATTCTTGTTCAAATAGTATCTTTTGAAAGAAAAGGAACAAAAGATAGCCAGAGTAACAGAATTTGCAAACTTGACAAGTTTCTGCTTTGAGGCACATAAAACCAGCTTGTACCGAACCTGAAGTTTGGGTAGGAGCTGGAAGCCTATTGAGTCTGTGTGAAAGCAAGAGGTTACTCGTGGTGATGAAGAGGAACTACAGAGCTTCATCCTCACGACACCCTAACGATCATCACCAGGAGGCACTGCACAGGTGCACCAATGGGATGAATGCCAGAAAAATAATTATAATTTTTTCAGACGGGAATAGGTTTTGCATATGTATTAGGTGTGAAGCAATCTCATGTTTAAGTAATCATTATATGTAATATAAATGAACTGAGTGGCAAAGGAGGGTGCGCATGCTTTTGGAGGAGCAATCCCCATGCGCCTCAGTGCTGAATAAAAGCATACCTACTTTACAACTCTTAGCGAGTTGTGGAGTCTATCCACGTATCAAAAGGAGGTAAGGAACAGCTTCTTATACCGTTTCTAAGTTGTAGCTGACCATATGAGCATAAACAGTCTTTAGTAAAAGGTGGAGTTGACTTCTTTGTACTACAAAAGGCAGGAAAGCTCACACAGTTCGTTATAGCTGAGCAATCATATACAAAGCTGGTCCTTACTGCCTCTGAGCTGCTTGCTGCTTGCTCCTTGCTCAAGTCAGTTGTAATTTTCAGTGCTGTGAGTATCCTTTGACTTCTGCAAAACCATGAATCTATTGGTCATAAGAATTATGACCCATGAGAGACACTGAAACTTCCCTAGGTAACAGCCAGATTTGCTTCCTGCACCACCAACTGTGGGTAAACAGCGTATTAGACCTGCTATGGGATTTTTTTTTTTCAAATTCAAGGTCTTGTCATCCAAAAATGGTAACAGTCACATCAAATAACCTCAGCTGCAGCTCAGGTTTCTGTTCCTTGACAGATTTTTGTCACATTCTGCAAAGGAAGGTACAAGGCAGTTTATATCAAATTGCTGTCCAATATACTTCACTTCATGGCTTCTTCAGTTAGTAGTTGCCTTTTATACTGGAGCATAAGGTTTTAATAGTTTTTTTTTAATGTCTGGATCCTATCTAGCTTGCTCAGCGCTCATTACCCATATTTCAGCATTTCAGAGAGGAGGACGACTTATTTCTGTATTTATTTTGCTGTCAATTTAGTTAAATAATGCCATAACTTGTCAGGCTTTTTAATGGGCATTTTCTGACATTTCAATGGGAATTAATCTGTCAAATTTAGTAAATAAAGAGAGAAATGTAAGAATTTAGAAAAGATTAGCAGGAGACTCACAGACTTGGAAACCAAACCTTGAATTACGCATTTTACAATTGTACCCCCTCAGCAGTGGCTGCTGGATAAATTGCAGTGCTGTGTGCATTGGATCTGCACTTCAGGATTTTCTTAATTAAAGAAAATATAAGAGGAGGAAATCTTACAACTTCTTTTGGAAAGGGGGATACATTAAGTTATGATTTATTTCAGATGCAGTTAATTAGCTATAAAGTGACCCTTGTTCAGTTTTCTTGGGTAACATTTTACATTTCTAATTATTTCTGGCAGCTTTTTTCTTCTGTCTCTGCACTTCATTCCTGTTGCCTCTTCAATTTTTGTTTCAGTTCCTTCTCTCTTTTGGGTTTATTTTTCTCTCTTGCTTTGTGTGTGGGTGATACTTTCATATTCTCTCTTTTCACATTTGACTTCCCTTCAGAATTTTATTGCCTGATACTTTATTCTGAAGTTAGGAAAGGGAAAGGAATATATGCCAGCTTCAGTCTCAGGAAATACACTCATCTCTGTGTTTGAACCTATACTTTATGATTTCAGGCTTCTGATCTGATGGACTCGCCTTTTGCTGCATGAAATACACATTTCTTCAGCAGATAGAAATTTGCTGTTTAAGAGTACAATGCTCTGCTTGGAATCACAGAATGGTTAAGGGTTGGAAAGGACCTTAAGATCATCTAGTTCCAACCTTCCTACTTTACATTAATTTCTGTTGCTTCACACTTACATCAAGAAATTCAATGAAAAATTGTACTCTGTGTGCTTATAGAGTAATAGGAAGTACTACCAGTGAAAATTTAGGATTTAAAAAAATCCTCTTCATAACTCAACTGAATATCAACCTTCCCTCATTGCTCTATAGTTGATCTATAGTCATTATATAATACAAATCCTAAGGATACATTTTGTAGGTATGAATTCCCTCATCCCTTCAACAACTTGCTGTATCTTCTACTAACAGCTGCTCAGGTACTTCTTCCAAACATAAGTTGAAGGGCATTCTGTCCTGGTTGGGTATGCCAGTCCAGCATGCAGCTTTACACAGTGTTGTCTGAGATTGTCAAACTGTCATTTCTGAGAACAGGATCTGTGCTAGCGCAGTGCAGGAGTGCGCTCTCAGTTGGTGCCCTGCTCCCAGTATCAGCAGGGAGTTTGTTATTCGTTTTTGCTCTGTGTAAATATTGTGGTGACATAAAAAAAATACACTCTTTTTCTAAGAGTGGCTAGTCCACTTCTACAGCACATAATGGTAGGAAAGGATTGTCATAATTACTTATGCAATGTCTTTGACAAGCTTTGAATTATGACATTTAGAAGTCCAGTGTCTTCACTCACATTAATTTGATTTTCAAATGGCACTGACAATGTTCTGTATCAAAGACAGAAATAGTTTGCAAAGGCAAATCCAGCTGCAAGGAGTTAAGACAAAGTGTTAGAAAGAAAATTGATGAAAGAGGAAGGAAGCAATAGACCATACATGAAAGAGATTATAAAGAGAATAATCCAAAGTGTGTGTTGACATCCTTAATTCAGTCCTGTATTTTATCACTGGTATGTCTGAAGGGTTTAAAAGCTAGATTTGCAGACAGTAATGACATGGGGAGCGCAGGAAATTATAATGTGTTACATCTAGATTCAGTTCATGCAGAGACGGGGACAAAATATTTCAAAAGAAACAAAATCAAACCACATTAAGAATGGCAAATACTGCACATGACAGTATTTTATAGCATTAAAATTTTCAGTTAACTAGCGTATTTGGCAATCTCATTGGGTTTTATTCCTGAACTCTCACTGCCAGAGCAGCAGGATTGCCCTTCTAATCTGCCCCCCAGTCATACTGTTGTTGGTATAAAAAGTCCAAATCAGGCTGCATCAGTGCGTCTGTGGTTTGCTCTGTGCCTTGCTCATCCAGTTGATTTTGTCAGTATAGACTGGGTTATGCATACATACCTGGAAATAATTCAGTCTGCCCTGAACATGCACTTAGTCTTCAGGTTTTATTTAGTAGTGTGACAGAATAAGGTTACAGATATGTTTTCTCTGCTTCAATTGACTCTTCTTTTGTACAGGAATAGAAAAGAAGCCATGGTGTTCACTGCTAGCAAAGGCTAGCACTGTTGTGGTTGTTAAGATGATGTGTCAACTCTGTAGCGGCTATTCAGGGAGAAGCTGTAATGAATGACTACTTCCTTGTGATCTGTAGGTAATGAAGGTTTAGAATCTGTGTTTTTGCTTCACCAGAAAAGGAAGTTGTGCCCCACTTTTTAAAACGTTTGGGTGGCCCGTGAGATCTTCAAGAGCATCTTTCAGAAATTCTTCTGGAGTTTCTGAAAATCATGTTGACAGCCTTCCAGCAACTTCAGGTGCCTAATTCCTCCAAAAAATCCAGGCTTTTACCCCTAGCCTTTTCACCCAGCTGTGTTCCATCTGAAGGCAGGAGGCTTCAGTTCCCTCATGCCTCCTATAAACCTTTTACATTCCTACCTGGCAGCTGCTCCAAGAGCGAATTCTGTATCACTCCATTACTTACAGAAGGATCAGCAGTGTTGACCTTGCTTTACACTGAGGTGAGTTTGACACTAAAATGCTCTCGAGATAGCACATTTTCTTTTCAGACAGTGCTACAGATATAAAAAACAATTGCCATTTTAAAAGTGCCTGTAGTGGTGTAGTAGAAAGACTTCCTCTTGCTATGAACAGGTCTGCTCTTCCTTAGAGGGCAGCAGGCTATTATGCAAGTAGAGCTTTTCAGTGTTAGCACTTTTGCCTACTCTTGCACTCTTCAGGATTGCTGCAATGACTGTATTTGCATTTGCTTCATTAACCATCTGGGCTATCACCTCACAGCACTCAGACATTAAAACTACTGAGGTAATACTCGGGAATGTGAAGACCACAGGCATGTGGCCAAGTTACCTTCAGTTCATCTTGGAGGTGAGTGGTTTCATTTCTATTGCCATTTTGTTAAACAACAGAGAATTGTTTCTTTGGATTGATTCATTTTTGAAAGGATCATGCAAATGGAAATCTCAAGCTATCAATACTGTAATTACATATTCTAGTTCAGTAATCTCTTCTGCTTTGCCATGCTACATTATTTAATTTCCTCTTGTTCCATGTGAACATCTGTAACAAGATTGCAATGAAAAACGGTGTGCCGTGTGGCTAAGAAAATGAATACCAAGTGACCTGAGTGCTCTGAAATCAATCGTATGACAAAAGAGATGGGCTTAAGTGGGGAGAAAATGTGTTCATTCTCATGAGAACACAAGATCTGAACCAAATTTCATGTGAATTTTGTGGAACTCTAAGAGAATTTAACTAAAGTTCCAAAGGTGATGGTTGCTCCTTATTGCCGAAATGTACTCTCTAATCGTAAAAATCTCTATATTCTGGAAACCAAAGATACGATTATTTTCAGTGTTGAATTCAAGCTTCTGTTGCTCTCTCAGTGCTTCATCAGTAAACTGAATACTGTTATCAAAGATCTATAATTGAATATACATTTTACATCCTGTAAATAATACAGGCTTCAGAAGTATATTTGATGGCATTAAAGTCAAACGATGGCTTACCCTAAAAAATGCTCAAATCCTTAAATCCTGTGCAGCTTAGCTCAGGAAAAGATCCCTGGAAACATTGCTTCTGAATACAGTTCTAGTGGTAAGACAGTTGCATAGAGTAAATTTTGCTAATTTCTACATTCTCTGAAAGCCAGAACACATCAGTCTTTATATCTGGTGATCAGCACCACGTATTTCATCTGGAAGTGAAATCATCACCAGTGCAGATGTTTATGTACCTGGCCTTTGTGGTCCGAAAAGGTGGGCAGCATAATTCAGGTAGACCATTCAAGCAGCCTCACAAGATAGTTCTGGAAGAACAGCCACAGACACATGTGTTAATGGGAGAATATTCTATTTCTGTGCTGGAAATGCTTTCTTTATCAATTTAACTTTAAATATGTAGGCATTTGTCCTGAACATCTTTGTTTAGCCTTTTGTGGTGGAAAGAACTACCTTCTTATGTGGAACTTGGCTGCAAAGATCGATGACCAGGTTTTGACTATTACTACAAAGGAAAAAACACAAGTGGAGTCTGAGTCATTGTGGCTGTGCAAGACTCTTCGCACAGAGAAGGGATTGGACTCTTGTCTGGATTTTCTGATGCTCGTTGTTCAGGTACTAACTGCAAACTTATTCTGAAAGTAAGTTTGTGAGGGTGTACCTGCCTGTGGATTTCTTTCACATTTATGTGAAACCTAATTAAACAAGATGTTTGGTTCGATAATCAATTCCACAAAGCAGGCAAGTGGGTTTTTTTTTTGTATTTTTACTAGGCTCTGTTAACTTATAACCTTTTGAAAGGGAGTATGTGAAGAAACAGATCATTACATCAGCCCTCACCAAAGGAAAGAGTACAGGATTCTTGAGGGAGAAGTACTGCTTGGCCTTCCTGGCAATAGGTAAGAGTTTGTCTCTGGCACTGACTGCGTCTTCCACAAAGTTTTCCGTATAGAACATATCATATGTTCATGCTCTGTGCAACCAACTGTGAAATACTTTTAAATAGAATGATTGTTCAGTCCCAATTTCAAAATATTAATTTTAAAAATTTTCCTTTTTTTTTTTAGTTTCTTGAGTCACAACAGTCATTAGCATAGGGGGCATTCTCGTAAATCCATCAGATACTCATGGAAGTGTCTCCAAATAAAGTTAAAATCTGTAAGTAAGCAATTCTTTACAGCATATTGTATATCTGAGTGGGAACTTTTAATTCTGGTGAAGGTCAGCTGTACTTCCTAGTTTCAAAGCCACTGTGTGACCTGAACTGTGAGCTCAGCCTCCCCTTCCCAGAAATGGAGGAAGACAAAGGAAGACATTTTGGGGGGATAAAACCCTGTAACAGCAATAAAGACCTCACTGGAGCAGAAAGATGCAACCCCTTCTTCCCTGTGCCTGTTGGAGTTGGTTTTCCCTGGTGTTTGTGAGGTCTGTGAGAAATGTTTGGATAAGATCTTTTGGTGCTGCTCCCAGAACACGGTTCATGTGATATCAGAAAATCCTGATGCTTTGCCAGGGACTTTTTTGTCATTGGGAATTTAGAGACTGGGTTTGTAAAGGGCTGGCTGAGCCAGGATACAAATTAAAACTCCTGAGCAACCTATTCTGCCAGCCTGTCTTCTATGAAAGGCCACCAGGGACCTGTACCAGGAGACACCTCCCAAAAGGAGAATGAGCAATGGAGCAAAGGTGACTAAGTTTGGTAGCACTGCAGAGCTGGAGATGAAACATCAGTGTCCAAGCCATGGATGTGCACTGAAATATGAGTTATTGGAATAAATAAATGTGGTCATTGTAACCTTCCTTCCAGCCAGAGTATCTTTGTCTTGAAGCATCTGTCTTTCCATCTGTAACCTGTAAGTTTTGTTCACTGGCAAGGCAGTCCTGGGTGAATGGAAGATAAGCATCTGGCAGTTTTCCTCACTAGTTTCCATTCACCTCTTAAAGTCTGGAATGGCAGACTTCTGAGTAAATGCAAGGAATTTATTTTGAATCTGCTATAGCTGTTCACAGTAGTTATTTAAGGTGCAGTCTGTCACCACCTGCTTGCAATATACAAAAGATGAGAAGGAAGCAGATTTTCCAGAAACCTTAGAACTGCAGTTCCATTAGGCGACAGGTAAATTGTTCCTCCTTCCTGATGAGGATTTTCGCTTCAATGAAAGTGATCAAAAAGTTGTACCAGGTGACAAATGTCAATGTTTAGTACTTTTTCAGAACTTTGGACCCCATGGGAAAGGTGCAAGGAAATTAAGATGGGAAAGGAGACTGGAGAAGAAGGTAAAACAAGAAATAGACAAAAAGGGAACTTATTAGTGAAAAACATAATGCCATTGATCGGTACCTGCTTAGTGGAGATGAAAAGGTGAGAAACAACATCCTAATATATCATATATATCACAGAATCATAGGATGGTTTGAGTTGGAAGGGATGTTAAAGATCCTCTAATTCCAACCACCCTGCTATGGGCAGGAACACCTTCCAGCAGAACAGGTTGCTCAAAGCCCCATCCAGCCTGGTCTCAAAATATCATAATATAGTATTAATTATAGTATAATCTCAAAATGCTGTTCTACTTGCTGATGGATATATCATGTTACAACTGTTAGAATTCTGAGAGGCTATTTTGTCCTACTTCGTGTTCCTTTTTCTTATGATATCTGTCTTGTTTTCACTCCATAGTTTCCATTATGATCTCATATCAGGAAGCTCTTGAACAGGTTAAGTGTTCTGGGGTCATAATCATAATTAAATCCACCTTTTGATTGCTTAATTTACACTAATGAATAATTTTCAAATTGGAAATACTAGTTTTTCTCCCTAAAGATCAAATTTGAAATTGTAATAAGAATTTTACATTTTCATTGAGCTGTAACCAGATTGGTTTTTTTCACAACTTTGCAGAGTTTATTAATAATCTTTGCTGTTTACTGTCATCTGCATATATAAAGTATCACTGGTGGGCTGTGTTTGGCTTTACTATGAACAGTTTCCCATCTGACTTACTGTAGATAGTCTCAGCCCTGTGTTCATTTGACATGATTTGCCTTGATTTTCTCAGTCATCACTCCACTGGGTCAACAGACAGATCAGCTGGAGAAGTTATCACAAGTGCATACGTGTACATATACAATAATTTACATGTCCATATGAAAGGACTTATGGCTAGAGGTCCATTTGGTTTTAATGTTCATTGACCAGCACCAATGCCACTTAATTACTTAAAATAAATACGCTAAGATTGAGAAATGAGATATAAATGAGATAAAAAAGGAAAGTGCTGATATGAATCTGCAGAAAAGTTCTTGAGCTTGTCCCTGACTTGCCAGATGCTCTCCTGCTCCCTCAGTTACAGTGTGTTCATATGAGCCACACCATCTCAGTTCAATTTGAAGCCCTGTGCCAGCTCCATCTTCTAGAAACCAGCACATCCATGCTCCTTCTATGCACTGCTGTCCTGACCTTCACTGGCCACTATCTGGTGCTTCCCAGCAACACTGAAAAATTGACTCTATCATACTTTGAAACTTGGAAAACAGAATGGTAGGTATTATTTGTTATGAGTTTAAAATGCACTTTTCACGTTGAAAAGTGACTGCGAGATGTGGTATTTATAAAAATAACCAAGAGTTTGGATGGTGAATATTTTCATGAAACTACTCGGAAATGATCAGCACAGTAAGGATTGCTTACTGAACATGTTCTCTACTTGGTAAAAATTCATGTACTCATTTTGCCAGTTCCTTCCACCAAAAATTAACTTACCAAAGAAAATACCATGAAATATTATTCCAGTGTTTCATGTTTCTTGAATAGGCAGAAAACAGATCACAGTGTCCACGTTTGCTGCTTAAAATACCTGAATGTCTATCAGGTTTTCTATGAGTGTGGAGAATATTTTGATATTAATTAATTACAAATGCAGCAAGTAGAAAGCAGAGCTGAAAATCCATTTAGGAGGTCATTTATTTCAACAGCACTAACGTTTACTATTATTGGGCCTATCTTTCTACTGTAATAGGATAAGCTCTTCATATATACAAACATCACTATTTTCACTCCAGCAAATGGGTGGTACTTCCGTGCAACACCTAGAGTCTTGTCCCTGGTGTTCTGCAGTCACTGCCTGAATTGTCAGGTATCCTTAGAAGCTTCCTAATCTCAATGTCTCTGGGAAACTGCACCATTCCTCACATCCTGTGCCTTTAAATGTTCCTCAGGTCTGTGTCTGGATTTCGCTGGGAAGAAAAGTCAGCCTTCCCCATTGACTTTGTGCCACTGTGGCAGCATAACCTTCAGCACAGTTCAGCTCACTTTCTCCAGGGGAATGCAAGAAAAAGCAACAACTGTCCACCCAGCTGGCCCCTGGCAGTGCTCAGAATGTGCCCTTAGGTAGGGTGGATCTGATGCCTCTGGTCCCCCTCCTGTCCTGCTGGCTGAGAGTGAACTCTTCAAATGATTTTTGGAGAGAACTTCCAGGGAAAAAGGTAGAATGAAGGAAAAATGACAGATTAAATTCTCCTGGAGCTTTGTTTAGGCTTCCAGTGGTACGTCAGTGCCTTCCCACAACTCAAGAACTGCTGAGTCAACCTATTTCCCCTGCCCAAGGGCAGGATCAGTTATAACTAAACTGATGCTGACATGATTGTCTAGCCTGTCTTGTAGCATCTTTGTCACTGGAGATCTTTGCTTTCCAAAGTAACATATTCCAGTGCTTCACTATTACTATGGTAGAACAGTGCCTTTTTGTTTTGTTTTCTCCCTAGCGTCTTATTTATCAGTGCTCCAACTGAAGGACATTAATTATTGTCCTTTTCACTTAGACAGATTGTCTCTTTCCTCTCAGAAGCAAACTTTTCCATTACTGAGGACTACTGACTTCATTCCTCTTGATTCTAGGCTTTGTTCTATTTTTTATTAGAAGTCAGTCTTCTACACCTCCTCTCTCTCTTGTTGCTTATTTGAACTCCCTCTACCCTCAAGTGTGGTTTCCAAAACTGCATAGCATATAATTACCTAATGTGTTTTAAAACAGCATTTCTATTTATTCATCTCTCAAGATTTGGGTTTTTTTTTTGCAATGGTGCAAAATTAGTGACATGTTGATCCTACTCCTTGAAATCCTAAGGGGTTTTTATTGTCATTGATTATTGTATTATGTTAAATAATCACTAAAGTGCTATTCCTTAGGACTAATATCGAATTAACAGTAGAGGTGTTTAACTGACAGATACTTAAAATTACTATTTCTCTAAATGTTAGGTTTAAAAATTACTGGAAAATGAGCTAAACATGTACTACTTAACAATTATGGATGATGCCAGTAGAACTAGGTTTGGAGTCATGATGGAAAGTAGGCAAACTCCTGAATATATTCCTCTTTTGTTATTATGTGAATGGTAGGCTCCAGTCATCAAGTTCCTCTACCAAATCACTTGCTCAGAAAGGAAAAATGAGGAAGCTGGCGAATGCTGATAAGGTAACTTCATGAAATGCAAAGAAAAAGTTAATAGATTTTGTACTTCTGCTAAGTCAAGGACTTATAATGTTTGTTAAAATGACTTTTATCTTTTTCAAACAAAATGACTTACATCCTTTCACTAAGTACAATAAAACTATGGTTGGTCATCTTGCCAGGTTTTTTGCTACCTTAAGAAATGAGACAAATGACAGATAACCAGTGGTTTATAATGACAAACACATCGGTTTCTACTCTTGTTCTCTTATCTTCTAAACCAGAAATAAGCAGCAATGTTGGGCAGTCATTACTAAGATTTGCATGATTTGTTTGAAATTAGACTTTGTTGTGTGCCATCTTCATTAATAGTGCTCTTTTTACATGGGACTCGGGCTTTACATATGACTCAGTGCTCCCCCCTTTTTCACAGCTGAATTGGTGATGTTAATCATTCCACTTCAGGGTAAAAATCTAATCACAGTGACACAAACAACATAGGGAGACTTTGGACTGAAGAAAGTACAATTCAGAAGCCCAAGCATCAAATAAAATCAAAGGATCTAGGGAAAATATAGTAATAAAGGCAGCCAGCCATCCCCAAGTATGCAGTGAGATTCCAGCAGGTGACAGGATGCCAGGGTCTACATTCTTATCAAAATAAGACTTAGAAGAAACTTAAGTGTTTTTAAGGCTTGCACAGTAGTAATGAGACATCTAACAGAAACCATGCATTTAGAGCTACTGTATGTCCAGTCAGCCTCTATAGTTGTGCTGTTTCATGATCTTTCCAAGTCTTACAGCACACATAGTGATCTCTAATGGGTTTTATTTAAGGTTTAAACAGAGATCTGCTTAGAATGATACACTGAAATAAAATCACACCAAAGCTATTATACAGTCTATTTTAATGGAGTTGTTTATATCAGCACCATCTTCAGCTGAAACTCATTAACACTCTATTAAATATTACATTTTCCTACATGGTTCCAAAAGCATGGCAGAAATACTAATACCACAGTTACTGCTTCAGCTTCTTCGCATGGAGTTAGATCCCTGACCCAGAAGAAGGTTTATATGGTGCAGAGCCTTAGGTTAGGTGACTTCAACTTAGTTAAGTGCTTTTAGTTGATGCAGTCAGCCTTCAGTAGAAACACAAGCATTATCACACAAGAATGAGCTTAGTGCCATCTCATTAGTCTGTACTTGCATGACTGGCTTTAGTTCAGGAGCTTGTACCCCGTATCTCTCCTAATTTTTGCTATGCTAGGCAAGAATAAACAGTTTTAACATCATTTTGTGGTCATGGCCTTTTTTATTTATTTATTAATCGGAGCCAGCTTTTGAACAGAGACAGAACCTACTTTGTGCAGATTCCATATTTTGCTACATTCAGGCCATTGAATAGGGCATGAAGCATCTGCTGAAGAACACGTCTGCACTCCCTTTGGAGAAAGGGGCAGAGAGGAAAGGCACAAGTTGTTAGAAATAATGAGTTTATGTCAGCTGGAAAATAAAAGGTGTTTGAAAGCAGTCAACCTAAAGAACTTAGCTTCAGCTATAAAGAGTTGAACGGAAGTTGAACGGAATTTTTGCATTTATCAGATAATTCCATGTATGAGCTGTGCTTAATTTAGTGGGACTATATATTCTGGGCACATTTTACATAAATTTATATGCAGATTTACTTTGGCCATAAGGCTCAAGAAGGAGCCTTATCTGTTACATTATCTTTTGTTTTGGCAAGCATACTAATGTGATCTTAATTTAGTAACAACTTTTTCCTTACTGAGCTTTTGAATAAACAAAATGCCAGGATTATGGTTTTCATATTATTATTTTAATCCTTTATTCAGAGACCGAATAGGTGCAGGACTGTTTCTGCTTACAGTCAGGATGTTCCTCCTGTGAGGAATTTGCATGATTTGAATTAATAAGAAAAGTTTTGAACTTCTCATTTCATTTCATTCTTGTAAGTCTGAACAGCCTTTTACAGTCAGCAGTTACTGAAGCTGCAGTTCAGTTACTCTGGTGCACTCCATAAAGTCAAGTCGTTGAAATCTGTGGGTGCTTTCTTCTCTGCTGTTGTACCTTATGCCAGCAAGTACAGATGACAAGTCATTAAATACAAGCGAGAGAGGTGTTATCAGAAGGAATTTTATTAAATACGAGACTTATGTCTGACCCACCTCCCCCAAATCAATTCCATCTCCGTGGCAACAGCCGCAAGCATGTGGTAAAACATTTGGGATTTCTCTACGAAAAAGTTAAATACTTACAATGTCACTTTTCAGGGAATCAATGTATTGTATCCTCAAGCAGGTTTCAAAAGTGCACAGTATGTTTACAGGAAGACAAGCCTCATGGCTTCAACACATGCTCTGTTAACTTACTTACCTGATCTGGCAGTGCTTTGGTAATGGGGAGGTCTGTCTTCTGAAGTCCAGTTTAGAATAGTCATGGTATGATAATCACAAATTTTATTGCAGTGTTCTTTACAAAAAATCATCCAGGAGTACCTTTGCAGTTTACTACAATTATTTTAATAGTGCAAGAGGGGAAAGACTCAAAGTTATTCTTACCTTCCACTTCTAAATAAAACTTCATCACATAGATGAATTTGCAGCTCCAGTGTATACAATCATTAGATTACACATTGCTGCATTGAAAATCATAGCCAAAGTATGTATTTTTATTTAGAAAATGCTAAATGGTCTGGTTTGGTGTGATTTCAACTATTATTCATGATTTCCAAGTTTTATGAAATTAACATGAAGAGCTCTTCACCAATGCAGACATTCCGATGACTCAGAAATCTAAATCATTTCCCATTTTTTAAAATTCTTAAAAATTCTCCCAAAGGCCATTTAATAGCGAGAACACCTTGCATCCCGCATCCCAGCTCTGCTGGTTAACACAGCAAACTCACTGTGTTCAATTCACAATACAACTGTCAGATAATCCTCATGCAAGCAAACAGACACCTGGAGGGTCTTGTTGTTTATCACAGGCTCCCTTTACTCTAGACTCTTAGTATCTATTTATATTAATTTCCACCACTCAAAATAATAATGTGTTTGTTGTTAACCTCAAACAGCAAAAAAGCAGTGTCTCCGCACAAGCCTGAAAGGGGCACATAGCTTCTATAGCATAAGTACGAATGCTGGGGCATCTGTGGGCAACTGAATCAATTGTACAACCACTGTCCATTTCCTTCCCCTTTCCATAAAATCAATTTAAAAAATAAACCAATACTGTTCCTCCACTCCCACAAAAATCTCTGCCTCACTGAGACCATATAGGGGCAAAATGAAACTTAGGGTGGTATCTATAAGCCTACCATTTCCTAACCTGACTGGTGACCTAAATAAAACTTTCAGTATTAGGTTTTTTCTGAGATGTAATTTATACTAAGGCTGTCAGGAGTTAAGATAGTAGTTGCCATGGAGCTTTAATCTTTTTTTAGGCTTTAGTCAAAGGAAGCTGGAAATCTGTGTGCTGGGTAGAACTCTGCTCAAAAGAATTTTATTTAAATTGGGACAGGATTTTATCTTAATTTCTCTACTGAAAGTTATTCTCAAAGGGTCTAGCATTCTTTTTATTTTATTCTGTTTCTCAGCAGGAGATTAAAGTTTCCTTTTAGGCTTCTTAAATCACACTATATTCAACCACAGAAGTATCCAAGTTGCTTCCACTGAACTCCTTCAGCTATAAACTGCAACTTTGTGCTAGTCTCAATGTGCACATCTAATCACTGTAGTGAAATTCATTCACCAGTTTTGCCATCTTCAGTGGAGGTATTCTGCAAGTACACAGAAGCAAAACTTTGGGGAGGATTTTATTTGATGTATGCCCATGAAGCATTAATCCCTACACTGAAAAACAGGCCTTTGGAACAGAAGTAATTACAGTTTGAATCTGTGTGCATACTACTTACAACTTCCTTGATGTACATGCAAGGAAAAAAGCAGCATGCAATGCATGAAGTGGATCTCTGGGAAGTATGAACTAGGCTGTGCTACAGTCTGTAACGTTCTGCTAGAACACAGTTGCAGCAGAACAGCGATGCAGTCCAGTTTAATGCTTGCAATTGAAACATTGCTGACTTGCTTAAAACTGAACTTGCCCTACCACGTAAACCAAAAGAATACAGAAATACATGGGGAAAAAAATGCAGAATTTGTCAAAACAAGCTTTCAGAACTCTTACCCTACCCCAACCAAAAATTAGAAATGATTCAAATGCAATGAGCTTGATCTTAAGAAGAGTCTTACATTCCAAGACAAAAATATCAGCTTCGTTCAATTAAAAAAATTGCCAGAATTTTCACTAAATAGAACTGTTTACTGGCCAGTTGTATTGTGAATACGTAATTCTTGAGCTATTCCAAAAACTACAGGGTAATCAGAAAAATGGCACAAGAGGGGATTTCAAACTTTTTCAACTCTTTCACAGTACGTTCCAGGCCAGGTTGGATGGGGCTTTGAGCAACCTGGAACGTGTCCCTGCCCACGTCAGGAGGGGGTTGGAACTAGATGACCTTTCAGGTCCCTTCCAACTTTAACCATTCCGTGATTAGAAGAGCCATGATCATAGTAAAATATAAACATCTTCCTTCTAGGATATGTAAGTTTGTGGGACTTGAACAGTCGCACAGTAACATCTGGTTTTACACTGATAGCAAATTGTCTTACCTAACTAGCACTAGATAGAAAAGCAGTTTTTGCGTGTTTGAGTGACAGCCCTGCTTGTCATCTTGAGAGGATCAGATGCAAACCCAAATGCCCATTCCACCAAAAAAACTACTCTTTTGAAAAAGTGTCTGCTAGCAGTGTCAGCCAGGAAGAACCTGAAGAAAACTGCCCAATGAAAGACACAGGGAGCATCTTGGATCCTTAAAGACAACATTCAGAAATGTAATTGTTGCTGTGCCCAAGGAAAAGCTATGCATTGTGAATGAGATTCAGAGCCAGGATGTACAAGGAAACCGCTTAAAGTAGCCCAAAAGAACTTTTGATAGGTGAGGTGAATAGGTTAAGTAGTGAATATCTTCAAGAGCAGATGTTTTACTCTGAATTGCAAGAGATAGACATCTCTATTCAATGTTTTTAACAGTTCTTGAATTAGGCTCTTATAGGAAACTCTTACAGAATAGCAAGTGCCATCTTTACCTAACCTCATCTGACTGGTCTAGTGCAGACCTTCCCAACATACTCGTTAATTTGGGCTGTGGCATTCCACAGGCCAAACCATACTTGGCTTGCCTCAAGTCCCCTCTGCAGAAACTAGCCAGGGTTGCTAGTCCTGACAGAGCAAGATACGCTACCTCTAAGCTGTAGCATAAGAAGTTACTTTTCTCATTGCCCATGATACATTTCTTTACTGAGGCTCACTGAGTAGATAGGCTGACTTTCAGCACTAACACATCTGTCATTTGACTTTAAAGCAGGTTTCAGCAAGAAACAGCTACCAAGATAGTATTAGCTTTGAAATAATAGAAGAAATTGAGACTATTTCCTGATGTGATAAAGTATCTTGATGACTTGAGGGGCTTTTACCATTGCTGTGTTAGATTCAGATACGTATGGGGGTAAAAAAAAAGGTCTAGATCAGATTGCAGCATTTAAAGCAAGTTGGGCTTCTGCATGAAACCTGAGGTATTTTTTCAGTCTGAGGTGCCAATGTCAAAGATTTGCAGAGTTACTGGAGATGAGACCTCCTAATAAAAGAAATATGCATGCAGATAAGAGGGAGAAAGAACTCCAAGCCCTTAAATAGTTGGTGTATCAATCACTGCAGTTTTGTCCCAGTAGACTGCTTGGGTTTTAGGGGAGACCAAGCAGGGTACAGTTCAGCCTAGAAGAGTCTAAACAATAAAAAACCCAGATTAAATTAAGACTTTTAAGAATCAGATGTTGCAGTCAGAAATAGTACAAGCCACAGAAATGCCCAAGTGCTCATTAATTATAGTAGTTTCTGTCAAGCTGAAGTTAGAGACTTCTAAACGAAGTCTTCAAAGTTGGGAAAAGCCATCTTGCTTACAAAGGCCCATTTCAGCTCCACAAGGACATAAAAAAAATGGAAAATCCTTAAATTTTGGGAAGAATGGGGCATTTCACCACCATTCTGTATCTGTTCCAAGACTTGACAGTACCACATTATCACTTCTGGATGTGTAGATTAGTGAAATTCAGTTTAAGGTAGTTTAAATATGGAGGTATCATCATCGTGCTTTTTAGCCGTCAACAGGTATGAACGTGTAACAGCACACAGAAGACTACACTTAAAGAATTTGTACCTATCATGGCTGGTAATTAACTGTATTTGGGTTCAGGCAGCTTACACAATAAAGTCATACACGGCAACTGGAGGAAACCTGTATTAATCCAGGCCTGCCAGAATTCCAGTCAAAAAAAAAAAAAAAAAATACAGCTACTGCTGGAGACAGCAAGATGGCCTTTTGCTGCTGATGAACTTGCATTACTTCAAAACTGAAAGGCAAAAATCAAGAACTTAGAAGTGTACCATGTTTTTGTGAGCTTCAAGAAAACAAGATGTAACCTACACCAAATTAGGATTCAGCATTAATTTGTACAAAAAGCAGTTTACTCTGTAGCTACATATACTATTGTCAACTTCAGAAGTGTATGTTGCCCAGATTTTTCTTTTTGCAAGAAGCTAGACCTCATGACAGTTAATACATATCTCAAAGATAAACTGGCTTAAGTGTTTACTTTTCATTTTCACTTCACTAGTGAGGTTCACCCTTTCAGAAAAGGAACTGAACATTAAGAAGCAACATAAGTGTTCTCTACTTACCTTTCAAATTTCATACTAGCATCTTAAGTGCTTCTTCAGCAATTACCATTGACCTTTTATGAGAACAGATGAAAAACCGCAAAATCTGGGCTTAGTTAAAAAAGGTGGTGAAATGGTAAATGCCAGATAACATCATGTCTTTTCTCATGTAAATTTTTAACAACAAAATAGCCGGAGTACTTTAAAGAGATTATTTTAGATACACCCATGCATACTTGAGGCACATTGCTATCTGCTTATGAACTATTTCTGCTTTTGAGCAATGTCATGCATTAGGCAAGTGCTGTTTCCCCAGCAATATCTTCACTGGGAATTCGTATTCTCTACTAGAAAAGACATTAGCATAAAAGAAGCATCCCTGCATTAGAAAGATTTATCTGGACCACTTTCAGAATCTAAAATTTTTTTTCTGTAACAGCACAATGTACACTTCCTACTTTAGCAATTATTCCAGATGAACAATTATATAAGTCTCCCAGCTTTCTCCTCTGCCTTGGAAGAAAGTACTCATGATTTAGCCAGTAGAAGTTCAAGCAAAACGTTTCAAGATAAATTAGTATAATGTTAATAGTTACTATTCCACTCATATTTCGTTCCGCAACTTCAGCATTTACTTAAGTAATGCTTGTATTTTAACGCTAGGGAGAATCACCATTTTGGGTAGGCATTAGGTGTTGATAAAACCCCCAGCCCAAGGCTTCCACCCAGTCTTCCCAAGAAGGAAATTTCAGAATCATTAAGCCATAACTAAAAGAAAAAGGAGTAAAATGTGGAGAGGACAACTTACAACACTTGTCTCCAGCAGTTGGCCTGATGATTCTGCATCAGTAGCCGTGATCCAGACCCTTCCAGAAGCCTATCTTTGCTACCTCAGATTAGCCTCTAGGCCTGGAAAGCAAGATAAGGCCTTGAGATAAGCTTTACCTTCTTTCCTACCCTGCTGGTGGTTGCATCTCGTACATTAGTTTACCATGGTATAGGTCTCCCCAGTGGAACAAGCACACTTCATAAACCTATAATTTCAGAGCAAAAATTCAAAACACTGCCTTAACGCTCCCCTGCCATATGTTAACTAGTGTTACTTGCAAATGCTAAATCCTGTTAAGGAATCAGATCATAACTGTGGAAACAGGCTCTGTATTTTACATAGCTTGTAATATTTAGAGTCCTGCACATTGATTCATACCATCTGGCCCAACAGCACAGAGGCTTGCTTTATGCCAAACACAGCTCATCCAGTCCTCCAGCCCCGGCTATCGCAGCCCTCTAGCGGAGTTGCAGGAGGGAGTTTTGGTGACCTTCACCCATCATGGCTTGCTTTTGCTCATCTGCTTTCTTGGCTGCTCTCAACTCAACCACTTTTCAACCAGGCTTGGCTAGAGATGATGTTGCTTCTTTGTTGTGCCATCAAGGTTGGTTTTAGCAGCAAAGAGCAGAGATCTATGAGGACTTCTCAGCACTTGCAGCCCCCTCTAGCTAACCCTTGCACCCAGCCCTGCAGAGCTATTCTCTCTGCCTTGCCAAACCCACAAGAAGCCTTGAGAACACTGCTTAGCAGGAACCCTAGGTGCAGGCTTTGGTACACCCTTCACTTCTCTATTATCATCTTCCATTGCAAAGAAGCAGGAACAGCTATTTTCATCTTTTTTCCCCTTCCTCTAAGATGTGGGGGTGAGGAAGTTCACTTTTAACTACCACCCAAGTAGCATTCGGACACTACTAGCACACTTCAGGACAAGACTCTTACATAGGCTGTAAGAAGCCTGCTGGGATTTGTTCTGCTGGCTCTGTGCCGGTCATGCCTATGGTTTTTATTATCTATCAAAACTTTTGATAGCTTTTGACTTCAGGCTTTTAGGTACTTGTGCAAGTCTAAGAACTGTGGTGCTGCACCTAAAGCCACACACATACGTGAATACCACTTCAGGAAAAGCAAAATTTACATCCCAGGGAACACAAGTCATGTCTCAGCTCTCAGAGATTATGATGAAGATTTCATAATCTTTGTGATTTCTGCTCCCCGAGATGTCAATATCCCCTTCCTTTCAAGGCTTATATAGGCAGTGACAAAACAAACAATCAGGGAAATAGTTTTGGCATTAGAGAGACCATCTTAATAACTATGATATCAGGATGCTAGACAGGACTCAAAACAAAACCTACCAAGAATTTCCAAAACTACATATACACCATAATTCTATCATATCCAAAAATTGACTCCCAAGTGTAAAGTCACAAAGACAAGAGTTTAATAATGACAAAAAAAAAAAGGGCAAAGAAAGAAAAAAATAATTAAAAAAAAGCTTAAGTTAGTGGTACTTTCTTCCTTGAAATAACATACTGGTTATATGAAAGTCACTGAAGAGGTCTGCTTGTAGCTTGGAAGACTTTTACAATTACAGCTGAATTCCAAAAACCTAATTCCAAATGTGTGATGTTAACACAAAAAAACTAATAACTTAAGACATGGGGTAAAGAACAAATTCAGTTGTTAAGGTTCTAGCAGTTAAGTGAAGCCTTTCAATGCCTTTCCGTAACATGAAAAGTTCTTCAGTATTTTTCCCACCCCCATTATTTCAAGAATCACAAGGTTCTTTTAGACTAATGGGGTTAAATTGAAACCAAGTGCCATATGCTTGCAATGTCTTCTGTGAAAGTCTGAAGCCACCCTGTTTCAATTATTTGGTTATTCAGTGCAGAAAGTTAAGATCACAGAAAGTATAACAGATTTTAATACTCCATTAATATTATAGATTAAAAATTATTGCATAGTCTTATGCATTTCCTAAAACAGCGTTCTCTGGAAATTAAACATTTTACTATAAAAGGAGCAACTCTTTAAAATATGAATTGCTTTCACTACCTCGATCTTCTATCCTTTTTTGATTTGTCAGTACATTTGTCCATTGTTTTCTCATTGTCTCCTCTGCACTTGGGGCAATACCATTTGCCCTTTGGCTTGTAGGTGAGTCCAACACACGAGAAGTGGAACCACTCGATAGGACACTGTTCATTATCACATCCTATCATTTCACCATAAGACACTTGGTTGCATAAGCAATAAGTTGGTTCATTGGGATCAATTGCAAATTCTACGGGTGAAACCTCTCTCTCTTGTTTGGCTTTGGAGCGTTTTTTCTTCTTGGAAGATTTAGATCTTTTTTCTTTAGGGGGCTGATCATCACAGTCATCTATGCCATTTGCTATATGGCACAGATCACGGCTTTCGCTGGTTCGCTGGCGACGAGGTCTACGTGAAGATCTCTCTGGCTGGCAGGACTCCATCTTTGCCTTTTCTACAGGCTTTTCATTCTCAGACAGATCTTGGAAACACTGAGAGTGTGTTTCCATTTGCCGAGCTCTATTCTCTACCAGTTCTAGCATCTGAGTAACTATCTGAATTTTTTCATCTCCAAGTTCTTGGCTGTTGATTAATGCACGCTGGAGATGCTGCTGCAAGCGTTTCTTCTGAACAGGATCATTTTCTGACTTGTATTTTTCATAGACATCATCTATTTCTTTTAGTGCTTCTGCAAAATAAAAATAATAGAAATAATTACACAAGGTGGAACATGCTCAAGAAAACACAAATTTGTACTGCTTCTCATCAGTTAGAAATAAAGTTTTAATTATAGTATACTCTAGTGGGCTAGATCAGGTATTTTGTTGCTGCGCATGGTCATCCAATCAGTGCTTAGAATCACAATCTGCTGCAAAAAGAAATTCTCAAGTTCTGAGAAGAAAGCAAGCTTATTTTAGCCACAGGAAAAAGAAAGGATAACCCAAGAAAGGGGACTATAGCTGCCAGAGTGTGGATAGTCCAGATCTTGCCTCCATCTGAAAAAGCAGGAATTTCTATTGAGAGCCCTTACCATAGTAGTTCCAAAACCCTGGCTCACAAAGCAAAGCAATAGCTTACTACATCACAGGCTGAAACCTAGAATTCATGTAATCATTTGATATCATAATATATAACACTCCAGAATTAGGATATCCAGGTCCCCTGCTTTCCTCTTCTTATTCATCCAAGGGTTTAGCATTACACTTTCAATTAAGCATAGTTATAAAACAAGTATGACAACTGAAGTTACATAATAGCAAATTTACAATCAGGGTTTAAATCAACTTAAACCACTCAAAACACTTTCCTTATTACCAAGCCAAATTATAGCAAGCTGCATTTTAAATCAAGGCTGAACTTTTCAGACTAGGTGACCTACTGTTTAGTGCATCACAGGATATTGTCAAGCAACTAGAAGTGAATGGCTCACAGCTTGACTTCTAAGCTATTCTTGTAAGTCACGCAAAATAACTGGATGAGCTGCTGTGAATCTTTAGTAAAATTCAGTTCTTGGGAAATTGCTAATGTGGAAGGAAACAGATCAGTAGAACTGACGGTGAAACCTGATGCACAGTGTTAGATACAGTACTGGCTCCTTCAGAAACTACCTAAGGCTTTTATTTGAGCAGGCAAAGGAATCTTTAAACGATACTAAACGATCTACTTCTAAAGCAAGGAGATATGCAGTACAATCTCTCTTTTCCTAAAGACCCACATTTCACAAACTGGCTTTCATTTTTGAAGAATTTGTCTATGTTGTACAGTTGTGAAATGATTCAGGCTTGTGCTAAATGGAAGCCACAGATACCATCCCCACATTGTTCACAGCGATTTTTTTTCCCTGCTGACACCTTGAAACAGTAGCTTAAGTGTGAACAGCCACTTTCTACTATAAATGCTTAAAATGTATGACAATAGGAGCCAACAGCATTTTGTTCTGTTACAGATTTTCATGAGGGTAAGACAAAAATAACTCCTCTGCCTGTCCAGTAACTCAGCCCATTTTTTCTCAATATTAACATTCCAGCTACCACTAAAACCACTAGCTTTGTCTCCCTGCACCTTCAGCTGCATCATTTGCCTGTTGGCCTGATGGTGTGAGTGCAGGAGAACCTTACTATCTGCTCCTGAATAGTGCAGGGTAAGGTATTGTGCATGCTGTTGAGCTAGAAAGGCATAACCAGAGCGTACAGTATTCAGCAGCCAAATTATCTCCCACCCAGCCTTTTTTTTTTTGAGGGAGAAAAAGAAAAATCAAAAGCCAAAACGTGTAGGTGTAGTTACAGAGATTTTCCATATTGGGAATGCTCTGCCCAGAAGAGCTCACAAGCAGTAACAGCTTTTTCACATTGTGACACAGAATAACAGTCACCCTGCATTGATTATTCTGTGAAGATAATGCTGCACACACTTTAAAATGGATCAACATCCGTTAAAAGAGGAAAGAACTTTTGGACTGACAGAAATGCGAGTTCACCAAACTCCTTGCTTGTCCTCAACATCAGAGAAGGCATCCATAAGCCCAGCTAAACAGCTCTGAAGCCCCAGTTAAAAAAAAAAACAACAAAACACCAGACCCCCAAACACAAATACAAGAAAACCCCAACCCAAACCAAGGCCAAGTGTTCATTACAGACAATCTGATTAAGTTTGGTGGAGCTAATAAAAGCTAAAAGGATTTGTTTTCCAAATACAGAAATCATTCCATCCCTCATGCGTGAACTATCACCACCTTTTAAACTGGCACAAATTCTACCACACTGCTTTTACTTATTTTAGGTTTGGGCCTGAGATATTTTTATCCAGTGTTTAGGGGTTGGGGGGGGGTTGCTATTTTTTGAAACAGTTGTAAGCTTTGACAGAACTAGGAACAAGCTTCTGCTTTGGCTCAGTATCATATCAGAATACATAATGGCACTATAGGCTGAGTATCAGAATTAATTCGTTCAAGTGCTGGCTAGCCACCAAAGCTCAGTTAGGGAACCTGCTAGGCAGTCCAACCCTCACTAAAAATTCAAAACTGCAGACAGGTCTGTGCCCTTCAGACTTTAAAAACACAAACTTACAAAAGCCTGTTCTTATGTATCTTCCTGGGTACTTAGAACGATAAATGAAAGAATCCGTTTACAATAGCTGTCGTCTGAGGTGACCCATTCAATGTCTGAAAGGCCTTAACGGTCCCCTCTTCCCAAGCCGAGGACAGCCTCCCAGGCAGCACAGGAGATGTGGCTCTGGCTTCTGCTCCACAGGACCGAATTCCCCCGACTCGTGCCCTGGGTCCACCCCGATGGCCCCGCTGCACAGCTGAAGCAGCAATGCTCCTCGGCAACGGATCCCAAATCACGGTTGGCCGGGAAACAGAAGGCCCCGCAGCTGCGCCGCCCAAGAACGGGAGATGAAACGGATTTAACCGACAGTGATCCGGCACGCCGGAAGCAGCCATGCCGCTGGCTGAAGTTCAGGGTAACTTCCAGCTCCTCAGCCCCGCCGGGTGCTCGCCCTCATTGCCCCGGGTCAGCGCCCGGCGGGCCAGGCCGGAGAGCCGCAATTCACCGCTCCTCCGGGAGCTAAAACCCATTCCCGCACCCCGCCTCCAGCAGCACCACCACCGCGTCAACCGGCGGGGGGTGTGGGACCGATCCCCACTTACAACCGGGCCTACCGCCAAAGCGGCGAAGTACCGCCGGCTCACACCGCCCCTGGGGCGGGGCCGCCGCCGCAGGACGTCCTCCTCGGGGAGGGCCGGACCGCCGCTCTCCGCGTTCGCTGGGGCGGGCAGCGGCCCGGCCCGGCAGCGGGCTCAGCCCGGCGCAGGCCCCGGCAGGGGGCCCAGCCCGGCGCCCACCCCCCATCCACCGGGCCCGCCCCGGCTCCGGCTCCTCCACAACGGGCGCATGTGCGGCGCCTGCCCCGCTTCCTCCTCTTCCCCCCCCCCCCTCCCCGCTGCCCTATGGCAGAGGCCGTGTCCCACGGCGGCGCCTACCTTGGCACTGCGTGTCCATCTCCCGCAGTAGCGAAGCGTTGCGCTGGATGTCCAGCGGCAGCGACTCAACGCACTCCAGGTAGTCCTGCACATAGAGCGAGAGCAGCCGGGCCCGCTCTCCGCCCGGCACCGCCGGCCCCGCCACCAGCTGCGGCCCCGCCAGCATCATCCCCCCGCGCCAGCAGCACATCCGCCGCCGCCGCGCCGCCCGCACCGGGCGCGGGGTCCCCGCAGCGGCCCCGCTCCGCTCCCTCCTGCCGCCGCCCCTGTAGCCCGCAAGGGACCGAACAGCGCCGAGGCGCCACGGGGGAGAAGGCGGTGAGGGGCGAGGGGCAAGCGCCTCGCTAGGCCGGGCCTGGCCGGAGCCGGTCACGCCACCGCTGCCGCACGGGCTCCCGCTCCCCTTCCCGCCGCGGTGCCGCCGCCGATGCAAAACCCCACTCGGAGCCCCCGCCCCTGGCCTCCGGGCTGCGCGCATGCGCGAGGCCCTGCCCTTATAAGGCGAGGCTGGCGGCCCTGCGAGGGGTTCGCATTCTCCCGCCTTCCCCCCTCGCCGGCTCCTACTGGCGCAGCGCGCGACAAGGGGCGGTGCCCGTCCCGGGGACGGGGCCGCCCTTAAAGGCGCAGGCCCGCGTTGCTTCCGCACCCGCGCCGGGAGGCGGTGGCCGCCGCAGGGGGGATGGGGGTTACTCACGCCCCGGCCCTCCTCGCGCCAGCTGCCCCGTGTGTGGGCCGAGGGCGCTGAGCCGCCGCGCACGGGGGCAGACGCTTTCACCCTTGGGACAGCGCCCGCCATGTCCGCGCCCCCTCAGGGGTGGCTGGGGCCGGCGTGCATCCCCCGCTGCGAGCGCTGCCTGCGGTACCTGTATGAGGTGAAGAGTGCGGAAGTGGCCGCCAGGTGTGAGTAGCCCCGATTTACCTTCAGCTTGCAGACAGCTTTTGCCGCTGCGGAGCTGGCAGCGGTGTCGCGACCTGGCCCCTGAGGACCGCTGGTGTCGCAGGGGAGAGATCCATGGGGGTCCGTCAAGAGCCCCGCCTCCTGCTCCCGGGAGGTGTTAGTGTCCATTGTCGCCCTTCTTCGGTCACTGCCCCGTGTTTATTCGCTCTTCCCAAAACGGTCTTTGACCCCGGAGATGCTGAGTTTCTCTGAGGGTGTGTGGGGCTGTCATAGATTACACTTGTTCCCTGTATAGGCTGTGATGCTCTGCGCTGTATTTTCAGTAACAACCCCGAACCTTCCCACTATTTCAGGATGTAATACTGATGAAAGATATTTGAGCAAGCGGAAAAATGCCGAAGTTTTACATTTGATGCTGAAGCCTTACCCTTTGCACTGTGTTGTTTTTGGTTGGTTGGTTGTTTTTTTAATACTTTGGTGTACAGAATAATCTGTCAGCACTAATGGTATTAAATCTCTTGAAACACACCTTTTCAAAGGCACTGTGTCTGACATGAGTGGAATGTGAGTAACTTGTATTGCAATAAAATGTATGCACACATTAAATTGTTTGCAGATGACCTGTGTATTTCTCTCCCAAACGTTGTTGTGAGCTATATATGCCACCATTTATTGATGGAGAGCAGTTTTCATCATGAACTGAGGTTTGCACCGATAACATAGTGACAGGCTGTGTGCAGGGAAGGCAGGTTTCTGCCTGGTGTACAAGAGTGTGCTCCATAGTCAAGCTTTTCTCGTTGTAGTAGTTGATATGGTGAGGCATCCAATTAATTCTTACCCTCCAACTGTAAGAAGCAGCAGTTTAAGCTGTTCCTGCCCGTAATAAGAACTACCTGATTTAGCTTTAAAGAAGAGCAAAATGATGTGTCATAAATTATTAACTTGGAGAAGCTGAGTGACATTTTATCCTGAGGAGTCATTTCAGAGAATTTTAAATAAGGCATCAAAGAATTTTAGTTTTTTAAAACCCACTTGCCTGCCAACGAATTCCCAATTTTCACAGAGTATCCTGCCTTTCCTAAGGCTGTTGTAGAATTTGAATCAAATGTTGGCCACAATGAATATAGTAGGAATCAGGAATAGAAATACACTTCTTAGTGACACACTTTTTCCTACTGGGAGATTGATACAAAGCAGAATTACTAAATGATTGAGAGTTGATCCCCATCTCTTTTTCAGATGTCCTTCTGATCTTCATGATAACAATTGGTAGACATCAGGAAAAGTATAGTCTTGTGGAGTCTTGAAACATCTTGAGGAGACCTGTACGTTTTGCAGAATGATGTATTTATATTTCAGGAACCTGAAAAACAGTGGGGGGAAATACATCTGCCAAACTTGGAAAAAACTGTCACAGAGATTATTGAACACAAGGGTAAAATAAAAAAAAAATCCAAACCCCAGAAGAACCTTCTGTCTTACATTCCTACCTGAAGGTAAGTGGCCAGAAAAACAAGAGTACACATACTAATGTTGTAGATAACGTTTCAGAATGCCACGATCAGGAGTGGTGATCAAGCAGCAGCACAGGTTGCGCAGAGGGGTTGTACAGTCTCCATCCTTGGATATTTTTGGAGCCTGACTGGATGAGGCCTGGCACAACCTGATCTGGCTGTGAAGCTGGTTCTACTTTGATGGCTTCCAAAAGATCCCTTCCAGCCTACTTTTTTTCTGTGATTCTGTGAATATGTAATCTTTGCCAGATGGCTTCATGGCGGGTCCTGTGACAAAATCCATCTGACCAGCCCACAGATCAGCATCTCACATGATGGCAATCTGTAAGTATTACTAAGACCACAGCCTAGTTCACAAGAGTATTTAAACACATTCTTAACATTCAACTCATGCAGCTGCTAAGCGGGTATCCTACATGACAGTGATTTTCATACATCTACGTCTAAGATGTTGAGTGATTGTAGCTGCAGACAGGTGGCTTTGCCCAAGTCAGCAGTGTGTTGGCAAGTTCATAAAAATGAATGAAAACAAAGTTGTAGGCAGTTCTTTCAAAACATTCCTTTTTATGCTGGTATCACTCTGGCCAAAAAACCCCAGGAAGTCTATAGCTCAGCATGTTCATGTTCTTAAGAGGACACCTTCATCTTTAAATCTGTAACACCAGTAAAAACAGCTGCTGCTTTTTGTATTGTGACAGCTCAGATTAATGAAGCTAAGCCTCATATAATTTTATGCTACTTGTTTTTGCACAAATAATCTAGTTACCTTCACTTCCATCGGCAGTAAACTGCTGAAGCTTTATTGTATGGTGCTCATTGCTGTCACTTCAGAGTAACAGAAGTCTTTTATATGAATTCTTTCTTATAATATTAACAGATAATACTTACTGTACAGGCAAAAAGCACTACCCATATACCTGGGTAAAAGGACCTGGATTAATATAAATGATACAGTATTCTTTAGAAGGATGTTGGCTGCTTTGAGGGGTTGTGGTTTTGCTCATAGTAAGTTTGATTGGCTGTATTGTTCTGCCATCTGTCCTGGGTTTATTCTGGGTTATTATTACTTATTTCTTCATTTCCCATACAGAGCAGAAAAATAAAGCAAAAATGTCCATTAAAAATTCATGTTATTTAAAATTAAATGTTCATTACAGTTAAATGTTAAATTTTAAATGACATTTTGGCATTTTTTTTTCCTAGCAAGAATCTGTATATGCACACTTCATTCATAACATTTGTTACAGGTGATTTCAGTGCTGAATACTTGCTGTTTGTCACTATGGAGGAAGCAATATCTTCTCAGTTGAGAAGGTACAACTGAGATCAGCTAATGTTTCCTGAATTTAAATGCTATCTGCTGCTTTCAAACACTAAAATAAAGATCTAAATTGAGTAAGCTTGAGAATACAGCAGTAACATTAGACCACGTCTCCCTAGGAAAGAAAAGCCCTAGCTTGTTGCATGTTTGAATCCTCAGGGGGAAGGAAAGCAAGAACCGCAGGCTGAATTTTCTGGTTTGATTATGCCTCAGAATGGTTAGGAGCAAGCACTTGGAGAATTTTCCGTTATTGGACTCCAGTTTGCAGGTTGATAGCCTCTGTGACCCAACTGTGTTTCTTCTCTCAATGGCTGCTTGTGAGAATAATCTGAAGATAGGAGGCATGGCAGAGCAAGCCTTGCTATTTGTAGAGATGGCCAGGCAGAATGACCATGCATTTCCACGAATCCTCTCCACTAAGTGGAGAATTGCCAGCTGGAGGTTGACATTCACAGAGGTATCAGGAATGTGTTATTAGCATGTATAGCATAAATACTCCATCCCTGGTAGTGTTCAAGGCCAAGCTGGACAGAGCCTTGGGCAACAAACATGGTCTAGTGTGAGGCATCCCTGACCATAGCAGGGAGTTGGAACTAGATCATCTTAAGGTCCTTTTCAATCCTAACTATTCTGTGATTCTATGAAATCATAGCTGATTCCTGTCCTTTTTCACCTAACAATACACAAGTTGGCTAGATTTTTTTAGCTTCCCATTGATAGCCCAGGAGGAGTTTCCACCTGTGGAAAAATAGTGAAAAGTAGCATTACTGATGATGACAAGTCCATAAGGGGCTGTAATTGTGAAAGGCCTACTCAGCATTTAGTGGAAGTACTTAAAGGATGGTAACAGGGTGCTTCTTTTAAGCAAATGGAACAGAACTAATTTTTGATGATACATTATTCTTGGCAGAATATATGCTGCTCTGGTTTCCATGGGATGAAAGGGATGAAGAATTCTCCAAGATACCAAGAAAAGAAATGTAGAGAAAAGAAAGAATTATTTCAAACTCAGTAAAGAAGGGCTTTTAAAAAAGTCAGCTGAAGAAAGCTATAGGCGATCATAAAGTTGTACAGAAAGGCCATAGTTGATCTGTGTATAGGTGTTATTCCAGGAAGGGGCTATCCTTGCCCGAGCAACAGAGATTTGTTTGGGTAAGCTATTCTTCAAAACTTCTCTTAACGTCAGGTCATCCAACAAAAGATACTTCCCTGAAATGGCAGATGTCATTGCTTTTGATTTTCCTTAAATATTAGGCTTGATTTATGTGGTGGAACACAAATCTCATATGGAAACAACCATTGTTGTTTTTCATTTACACAAGTGTAGGACATCTGAAAATAAGACATGGGCCAACATCAGGTCATTTCAGTAAAGTGATAAACTAAACCAGTACATTTCCTGAGAACACTGGCGTGTGTTTTTTTTCCCAGCTATCCTTACCCTCAGCTGTATCAAAGAGCTCCCTAGCACCAAGTAACAAACATCTCGCACTGATCAGGGGATATATTTTCTTCCTCATCCAAATGCAAACATCTGCTCAAAAACTGGAGAAGTTCCAAGATTTTTGCCAATATGCTCTGAAAGAAAATCTCTTCCTGAGCCCAAATTAGTAATCAGTTGACTTGTATTAACATGGAGAAGAAGGCAGCTGCAATATCCAGCTCATCTTTTTTTTTCAAACTGATGGTTCTATTTTTCTCACCTCAAACAGAGTGAAAAATGAAGCATGCAAAATAAGTTTACTGTGTGCTTTGTTTTG